AGAAAATAGCTTTTGAGACATGTGCCAGAATACGAAAAATTTTTGACAGTGGTAAGTTGAAAGATAGTTGCCAGAATTGCACTGTAAATTTTACTTACAATAAATTTTGTTAAGCTATAAGAAGGTGGAATAGCGATTTGCAACGAAGATTAAAAACATCAGGAACTTACTTTCTAGGGGACCTTAAACAGCTACAGTACTACTTCTTAAGCAGTATCTCAAGCTCTGTTAAAGTTCCAGATGATTTTAAATCCTTTGTTTTGTACGGTAACATAATGGGCATATATGCGTAAGCTAACCTGACTACTATCAATTTAGTAATCATTTAATTTAATTATCGTAAACAATTAGTTAATCAATATTATAATCTTGTAATAGTTTTTGGCTGGTTTGGTTTTCGAGCTCAGTGTACTATTGCATCCAACCAAAAATAATTATTTTATAAATATACTTGTATTTTGCCTATGTTGAAATGCATATGTAGTATATTTTGTACCGGTATTGTTTAATTAACAATATTTATGTCTATTAATTAACTTATCGATAGTTTAAGTTGTCATAACATTTTTTATGCATTGCAGTCTCTTAACGAATGAACATAAATCCTTTGAAAATGAGTGAGATTAGCTTGTTAAACTATAATTCTTGTTTAAATTAAAAGTCGACTCTGATAAGCAGGAAGAGCAACTTTTCTTTGTAGTTTTAATGAGAAAAAAAAAATCCTTATACAATTTTTTAAAATATATATAATCATGTAATAGAAGATAATAACGTATACTTTTTTATTAACAAAAGTCTGCAAAACTAGTTTTAAATTAACTGCACTAATTGGGTCCATACGATGGTTTAATGCTGATGACATATCAAAAACTATTATTTTTGTTTTAAACATTAAATGAATTTTCATGGATTTTTCCTACTTTCCTACAAAAAAAAACCATAGCGCTCTATTGAAGTAGACCAACAACAATTTTCTTGTAGACTATTGAGCAGGATTTTGGATCATGATTTATTCACTATCGGTTAAGTTTCCTAAAAAGTAAAATCCCACTTAAATAATTTTTCCGATTTAAATGGAAAATCGTTGTTAACAAAAACCAACACGCTAAATCTGAACAATTTTTTTGTTTTATAATTCATTCAACAAGCGTAAAACTGCTATAAAAATTAAGACTAACAATAAAGAAATTTTATAACAGGTTCATTTAATGACATAAAAATTAAGTAACATATTATAGATAATTTTAGATAAAACTTGTAACCAATATTATTTCACGAAGACACCATAGCATCAACACTTCAAGTCTCACGAGATAAAAACTAAACAAATTACCATTGAGTTGCGTATAATTCGTTGCGCTTACTTTCTATGTAATTTCTCTGATCTTCAGGATTGCATATAAAAGCTATTGCAAACCATTTTAATCGATTACTAAACATTTTAAATTCTAACGTAGTGCGCGGTTAATATTAAATAAGCGGGATTTATTCGGCAGAGAAAATGAATATTTGTGTTGTGAGTGTATGCTATTTTACTCCCCTAATGTATATAGAAAATAGAAAGAAAAAGTATTAAGTGGACGTGGAATAATATTATATATACTAACAAAACGTAAGGATTTCTGAAAGAACTATGCTATCTCCACAAAATTACAAAATTTCCAATTTACATATGCCTTAGTAAAAATATCTTAAGATATCTCGGTATGATATTTGTGTCAATACCTTAAACTTTTGAATGATTCCGTTAGTGTTTTAAAATGTTGGAGCATATTTATATTCGAACATATGTTCGAATATATTCGATTTTGAAAGTTTGCATCAAACATTTCAATTATTCGAGATATTCGAACAGCAAATCTGTGTTGTGTCATTTTATTGTCGTTCTGTCTAATGGAAATACGTTTTACAGCAATCAGGACATGTTAATCGAACATTGCTATGTTTGAACTAAACGATCAAAAGCATATTCGAATATCAAAATGGTTAAAACTTCGAACAGTTCGAATAATATTCGAAGCACTAGTTATGCATACTTTTTATTCTTTAAAACCAAACTTAACAATTTAGTAATCAGAAGAGGAATGATATTTTCTGAATGAAATTTAAAAAAAAAATAGTTAAATAAGAATATTGGTTTATATGCTGACATTTTCAGCTTTAAGAATAATTTAGTAATTTTTTAATAGAGTAGTGGCTGCTTTAAAATATAATAGAATCGTTGAGTTTAAAAAACAAAATACATATATATATATTTTATATACATAAAAAAAAAAATAAAAAAAATATAAAAATACATAAAAAAAAATATATAAATAGAAAAAAAATATATATGAAAATAGAAAAAAATATATAAAAATAGAAAAAAGATATATAAAAAGAGACAAAAAAATATATAAAAAGAGACAAAAAAATATATAAAAAGAGACAAAAAAATATATAAAAAGAGACAAAAAAATATATAAAAATAGAAAAAAAATATATATAAAAAAAATAATTTTGAGGTCTAAGACCTTCCGACAGGTCTTATGCATAAAAAAAAAAAGAACAATTGAGTTATTGTTGAGTTTCAATATAACTTAAACGGATCCTTTAACGTAATAATGATCAGGGTAATTAAACTTGATAATGCAATGCGATGTAATCGTAACCATTATTATCAGTCACTCTTCAATCCTTTACCCATCGCTTTTGATGAAACTTGTTAATTTAATATTTTTCCGAACTTAGGAGTATCTTCGTATAAGCAGACTTTGAATTTTTTTCAATCTTTCGATAAATATTAATCCTAAATTGTAATTTCCCTTGATTGGTAAGTTTTTCATCGTCTGTTTTACTTGTAAACAAATTATTTTTGATTCAACAGTGTTTATACCTTAACACTGTGCTTCAAAACAAACTTGTCAAATAATTTCCTAATTTCTATAAAAATGGGAATGATATTCAGTGCTTTTAATCTTTAAGGCTTTCTTATCTTTGGTAATTCCATTACTCATTTTATTTATTCACTAGACCCACACAATTTAAGGATCCTTAAAATTCATCTCATTGTTTTTCAACAGTCCTTTGAATCTTATAATAATTATCAATTACAATCAAGCGACCATTATTATAATGTTGGTAAGATTTGCACTGCGACCAAGATATCTACTATGCTTATTTCATGGACTTCGTATACTTCTCTAAAATATACCTCCACTGTAAATTATAGTATTGAACCTACATTACACTGCTTTTTTTCTTCATCCGATATGATATGCTAACCTAAGAACATATATCGTTTATATATTAATGTCGGCCACACTTCTCGCAAGTTTTTTAATTTCTCATTCTCCTCTCTATAACACCTATAAGTTCCATTAGAGTAAATATCCTGTTTTGTAAGGTGATAGTTTAAATTATGGTGCCCTGTTACACTTTCTCTAATGAATCTTAAATTACAGGAATTTTGGTAATATTACTTATTAACGTTCTGAGAATTTGTGTTGTCCTTTTTAATGAATCTTAAATTACAGGAATTCTGGTAATATTACCTATTAACGTTCTGAGAATTTATGTTATGCTTTTTAATGAATCTTAAATTACAGGAATTCTGGTAATATTACTTATTAACGTTATGAGAATTTATATTATCCTTTTTTCTACTGGAATTTTCATATTGCCATTATAGTATCTTTAAATTTCACATTCTTATTTGTGCCGCAATCCGATGGTACAATAAATCTTACATATCCATAATAAAAAAAAACGTTTTGCTGACACATCCTGACAAAAGTGGAATACGTTTTCAGATTGAAATCTTCTGATTGAATCATTTTTTTTTAAAGATGTGTATTTAGTTTCAAGATTTTGACGTTGATATTTTTTTCCTTATCTATCGTTATACGATTTCGATGCTTACCTTTTATATCAGAACACCACCAATGTAATACAGGAACATAACAGAATAGAAGAAATTCTCGTACATATTTAAAGCATTTATTAGAACGTTTAATAGAACATTTTAAAAAAATTAAAAATAAAAAAAAACAAATTAGTTTGATGGGAAGCAATTTAGTATTTATATACTGACAGACTGATACGGGTTAGGTCAAGTTGAGGTGATGAAGCTAACCTCTCTATTTCATTTTTTAAGATGATATGAATTCACAACATATATAAAGTTTCGTCTGATTTTATATAGTAAATTCATAAATTAATTCTCGAAGGCGGTGAAGTAAGTTTCATTTATTTCAGATTTGCTATCAGAGTGATCCAATTTGTAGATATAAATTTGAAATTTAGTTATACAGAATTTCTGTGCTTAACATAAAGCTTAAAATAATATTAATATTTTGATTACATGGAGATTTCTGGTTGTAATAATAACCAAATTAAAAAAACGGTATTGTTAATGAAGTCCAACGTAGACTTACCATCTTGTAATCAGTTTTTCTGTAATATTTATTTGGAAAATGAATAGTTAATCTATTTTGGAGAAGTAATATTCTCCACTGGGCTACGTGAATGTTACATTTACTACTTTTAAAAGTGAGTAAAATATAGAAACTTAAAGTTCTAAAAACTTATTCTTAATTAGTTGACATTTTTGAGTAATTACTGTTGCTGCATCTAGTGATTTATTTTTTTCATGAACATTTTAGATATACGTAATCGTAAACCGCTGGCTACTAATACAATTTTTAAAATATTCCCATGAAAATAAGAAATATTTATTTATTTACTAACATTCAATTCTAATTCTCAGGCCTGCGATTGAGATTAGAATTATCTTTTAACAATATATTAAAAACAACACCTGAAAATTTTTAAAACCAAATATACGATATTCAGTTTTCTGAATATCGTATATTCGTATAACACCATATTATATAGTATTAAACGTATAATTCTATTATATACTAAGCATTTTATGTACTACGAACATATTATGTTGTATATATATTATATATTATTATGCTGTTGTTGTTTTAATCTGTAGAGACCTTGTAACAGATAATATGAAAGGAAATACAAATACGTATGCATGGGTTAGAATATGGGTAGGTAAAGGAATTGTGAAAGGCAGAGGGGATTGTTGGGGAAACGAGAGCGGATTGGGGTTAGATAGTTTATTATAATTTAGTAGATATCAAATCAATTCAGAACAAATAAGCCGTATTCAAATTGCAAATACTGCTACAGTCTGTAAGAAAGGCTAATCTAATACACTTACATTTGTCGAGAATCTTATTAGCACAATTCCGTTTAGAAATTGCACTATTGTTGACTAACAATATAGTTTAGAGTATAAAAGTACTGTAATGTAATATTCATATTGCAAATGTATCTTATTAAATAGACTATAGTCGTAAAGTCTTGAACTCGTAATCGTTTATATAATTTAAGTCTATAAATTTTGATTTTATAATATAATGCATAACTTACCTCTTATGTTAATTAAAGATTTCGTAAAGTCAGTAATTTATTTATTTTTAATTTACTATATATTATTTAATATAGATTTTGTTTGCAATTGCGATTTTAACTCCAACTTTAACGGATGCGATTGCTTTAAAGGGGACATCAAAAAATCATGAGAATATATCGAATCAAGCAAAGAGGGATTTAAGTCTTAGCTATTCAGCAACTAATATTAATTCTAAAGAGGGTACACGTATTAAAACAATAACAGTTATAAAGAATATAGGTAAACATGAAAAATTGGCTATCAATCCGGAACTGCATAAAAATAAAGATTGGGCAAATGCCTTTCGCGATAACTTCGATTCATATGGTAAAATACCTGATGTACCTGATATTGATGATCTCTTTGAATTTGTAAATAAGAAAGAACATAAAGAAGAAAAAGAAAATAACACTGAAGAACCAAAAGAAGAAACGACAACTGAAAAAGATGTTAAACCGGTTGTTGAGCAATCGGCTGAAGAAACAACTGCTGCCACAGAACCTGCTGAAAAAATCAAAGGTGATGCTGAAGTATTATCAGCTGAAAGTAAACAAGAACTTAAAAACAATAATACACAATCCCAGTCGCTTTCTGCACACAAACGTCGAGTAAGTGAATCTTTGAATAATTTAAATAATGCTTCATCACAAAATACTGTGCAAAAACATTTTGAGAATTATGTGCAGCTAAATGAAGGTGAGTACATGTATGCAAAACCATGCCCGAATGTACCTGCTAATAGCGTTAGCGTGTCTACATCATCTGGACGCAAATATGATATACCAGTAGAAAAGTCAAATGTTATCAATCCTTATATAGCGCCAGCAATCGTAAAGAAGACACAAGTACCTTTGCAAAGTAATTCTCAAAATATTCCTGCACTTACACCTACAATAAATGCTATTAACTCATTATTACCACCACTGCAGTCTCCTACTATAATTGCGATTTTACCGGCACTGCAACAAGGATTTAATAATGCTATATATACCACACCATTACCAACCGTAAAGCCAACACCACCACAACAAGGTGCGGTTACTACTAGTCAGCGTCCTTATATAGCACCAAATCTTCAAAACGGCTTAGGCATAAGTTTAGGACCACCGCCAGTGTTGATAAATAAACCCCGTGTAAATGATTTTCGTACAAGGAGCTTCGCAGTGGGTGGTAGATCCCGCGGTTTGAAATATTAAATACAAACGTTTTTATTCTATTTTTTTAAACTTTTAAACAATATTTGGTATTAGTAAAGTTTTAATTTATATATAGAATTATAAGTAAAGCAATGGAATTAATTATTTTCTTAATATAAAATGTATGAACTATAAATTTCAACAGTTGTGTTGTGAAACAAATATATTGCATTGATTTTAATTGACATATTTTAAAATAGTATTAAATAAATTTATATTCATACAAATAATTTCTCATGCATTCAAAAAAAAAAAAAAATAAAAACTTTATAGTTCGGAGCAAAAGTATTAAATATCTTTTTATAAATTAAACTGAGTTTCATTCAAACTTATAAAGTTGATAAGACGAAGTTAATATATCTAAAATTAAGTGATAATAATAAGTTATATATTATAAGAGTATATTAAATGGAAAGAACTTATACTATTTATACATAATATATTAAGTAATGATTATTTAATTGTCATTTATTTTGTAGTCTTCTCAAATTTATGTGAAATATATTTTAAACTTTAAAGCATGTTTATTCTGTTTGCAGTTATAATTAATTATTATAATTAACAATTAACTTTTTGTGTACAACAAGGCGCCAATGAAGTCAAACCTAATAAAAACAGTTCTTATTTAAAACTCTTTTAAGGAGATAATGCGATTACGGTCAACTCTAATTAATAAAAAGTTGCTTATTAAAGTTATAAACATTTTTAAAAAATAAATTAAAACTGTTCACTATTTGATTTATATAAGGCATTCCTTCGCCACGACCAACATCAGTGGAGCTAAAAACAGTTATAACAACAAAGTTGTGACATGAACAAACTTAATTCCATGGTTTGGTTTATACAAGTACACTTATTTTGACTTTGCAACGATAATAAAAAATATTAAATTGTAAATATCATTTCTTTAATATATTATGTGTGCTCAAGAACAATCCATTAACAAAAAGATTGGAAAGAGTTGCACCAAATATAACAACTAAACATTTTATTTACGTTGTTTGTATTGGTATTAATCCTTAGAGTTCCACTAGCGTATGCAATAGAGTGGTGAACGGTACGAACGTAGGTTTCATCATAGATGAGTGGCGGGTAAGCCCGTTAGCGCCTGAAACCCACAAGGCGATAATACAGAATAATAACAGTCCAAATCACATTATCTATCATATGTACTATATACACTAACTGCTGTGTAAAATGTGTAATTAAGTCTTAAAATTGTGTTCACTACATACACACATACAACGTACATTTCTCTTCACTTGCACATTTTTAATTGAAACTATCAACTGCGTAATAATGGAAGTGTAGTATTTTTATTTTAATTTATGCTCAATAGAAATTACATTTAATAAAAAGCTAACATATTTGAACAAAATGTAGTAAAATACTAAGTCGGCAAAAATCAATATCAATTACTTTAATACATACCCACAAACGAACATATGTCGTTTTTATGAAATATAAGAAAATACCTTTATATAATGGATTATATCCCAAATTTCTGATATTTTGCAAAATTAAATTTTTCGTTTTAAACACCTTCGTGCCCTTTTGCTTATAAACTTAGAAAATAATTAAGACTCCACTAGACATGAGACTTCGCCATATGTAAAAACACTTTCTAATTTTACTGGCGTTACTCACCAAAAAAAGATTTTTTTCATATACAATATAATCAAAATTATATTAAATTGATTCCACAAATAGTTCACACAGATTAATCGTTATATCTTCAATGTTATTATATCATACTAATGTTTAATTTGCAAAAATATTGCGACGAATCTTCTGCAGAAAAATGCTGATAATTAAACACAACTTGTACCGATACAGGCAAAAAATAGTATGGTGTACGCTTATTTTTATGATGGCGGATCTGTGCAATTACACAAAATGTTAACTGCATTATCGGCAGAAATGTTACCAAATTCTTTTACAACTCAGAAATATTATTGAAGACACGTTACACATATGCAATAATATTTAAGTGGAGAATATAAAATAATAATATTGCAAATATATATATTATATTAAAAACAGTGCCTGAGAAGTATTTAAGAATTTTTTATGTATATAAAATATATAAACGATGCTACATGTTTGTAGACAAGGTATGCGTGGTTCCAAATCGCACCGTGTATATTTAAGTTTGCATACCAAATTTTGGTCTGAGACAATTATTTGTTAAGTCGGTACACATGTCTGCTTGCAAAATACACATGTCTGTAGATTTCAATATATCTGCAGACTTCTCATAATTTAAGAATTTTGGTGAGCGTTGGACAAGCAAAGATCGCAGAAAAAATTGAAAAATAATGAAAAAAATGCTAAACATTTATTTTCTTTAAAAGAAGCAAATTTGAAAAAAAGTGCTACAAACTCTAAGAAATATGAAATCTTTATATAATGAAATAAATAACTGTTGCTATTATCATCATCTCAATTTCTTCAGTTTCGATTACTGTTTTGCACTCTGTACTTGCTCCGCTGTTGTTATGAACGCTGTAGAAAATAAATGAAAAATGAAATATGCAGACCTTGTTTCAAAGTGTATAGCAAAGCGCATACTTGAACTTCATACTTGGTGTGCAGATATGTAGCAACGTCTATATCATGCTTAACTGTGTACAATGACACTGAAGAAACCTAAGGATTGACAAATTAGTTAAACGGCATATGCTTCCACTTGGTGTTGTGTAAGAGACCATTATAAACAAATGGAGACACTTGCATAACGTCTAGGCATATGTGGTCGATACTTAAATGAAAAATTTAAGCGATTTATTTAGCCCTCCAATAGAGACTATTCCTAAAGTCGTGGGTTGTATAACCAATTACTGGTTATTTGGTAGTTACGTGGTTATAATGGGAATTATATATTATGCAAGTACTTTGCTGTTTCGATAATGCAAATAATATGCCTTAATTATAAACTTACAAAACCGAACACACTTACCAACTAAGATTTTAATAATAATTATAACAAACTTTTATGACTTTATTGCACTATTTCTAACTATAAAATGGTTGGAAATTAATTTAAAATTTTAGTTTATATCACAAAAGTTTTTTTACATTAAGTTAATTTTTCAACAAATTTTATAAAGCTTCAAAATTATGATATATCAATCGAGTTGTCATAGAAACTATTGTTTAATAGAATCATGTTTATATTTATCAGAGTCTATATGATGTTTTTTTATGTAGTTATGAGAATGAAAGCACATATATTGTATAAAACATGAAACGTTAACACAGACTTATTATCTAAGCTCTTTGATATAAAAGATGAGACAATTATTCAAAATGATCTAGTTTATAATTGTTTCGTTATGGACTACTCTAGAGCTACACTTGCAACGGTATCGTAAGTGAGCATATAAAATAGTTAGATTTCGTCAGCCTGTAATTATTTCATCTGTTTTATAAATGTTTCAGTTTTAGTTTTCTTTAAAATCACTTTGGTGGGTAAAATCGTGATATTTAAAATGATCATTTTCAAATGAAATATTCTCGACATTGAGTTAATATTATCAAAGTTTATTTTAGATTATTTATTAAATTTTAAGAAATAAGTTTCCAATTTTTGTGTAATCTACAGCAAGTAGATGTATTGTTGATCAAAAACTGATGGTTATGGTGGCAGTCTATGGTTTAGGGTAGCAGTGAGATTATTTTTCTGTGTGTGTTTATAAGGTGATTATAAAAATTAAAATTATCCATTTGCGTTAAAATTAAAAAATGGCTATTAAGAAAATTATTTGTGTTTGCTTCAAAATGTTACATGAAAATATTAATTTTTTGTTATAGTTTTCTTTAATTCGCGAGACTCTATTACGAATTCTGCAAACATTACTTATTTACTTAGTTGGCCCCTACAGACGTGGGATGTCCTTAGCTGCATCGAGTAGCCTCTGCTAGCCAGCACGGAGTGTTAAAATGAAAACCGTCTAAGCTCTTTTTAGGTCTTTCTTTTTCTTTTTCTATATAAATACAAAATAATATCAAAACGTATTTAATTTTTTTAAGTACCTACCAATATCTCTGTATTTATTATATTCTTAAACACTTTAAATATTGCATGCTTTCATATAAATAAACTCATTATCAATAAATCAGTTCATTTAAGGCGAAAAAGGTCAAATGAAACCTTTAAAAATAAATTTCTCACAAGGGATATTATCAAAATTTGATATATGTTTCATATGTTTTATGTGAAAAATGTGAACAACAGTTGAGCTGTAAACAAAGGAATTGAGGATGTGAGTATTTAATAAAATCTTTGTTTTTAATATATATAATATTTAATTAATTACATTATTAATTTTATACATTATATTAATACATTATTATAATACATTATATAATACATTATATTAATATATAAAATGTAGATAAATAATAAAACATATCAATATATTTAACTTTTGTGTGATATTTATAAATATGTGAAGTTTATAAAAGTTCTATCAGCTGTTGAAACTTCACAAAAACATATGCACGTACAATTTTATTACTTCACCAAGCACGTCTGAACATCGCTATTAGTCTTTTATCATTACTTCATCAATTTCATTTCATAATGTAAACATTTATATGGTAGAAATAACCATAACAGATTCAAAAGAGTTATTTGTTAAATTTTATTAGACTGTGCGAGTTAGGTAAGTTGCGTTCTAAATGAGGGAAATTCTAAGTTGTACCGATAATGTAATGATGTGTCGATACGTGTTGATAAATGGCAAAATGTGTGCAGTGCAAAAAATCCCAAAAAATCTCCCATTTGGTTTAGCACCAACTTAGCCTAACTTGCACACGTGCTATATTGACATGTTTAAACGTAATTTTTGTGTTACATTTCACAAAATAATACCACCATGAAATAATAGTAGTTTTATTCACAAAGCACAAAACCCAGTTGGAATAAAATTATAAAAACAGCTGACAAGTCTGATGTCGGAAAAGCAGTTCCGTATATCGCACAGTTCTCTTTCATCCTCATATCGTGTTTGCTGAAAAGTATTTGTTCGTTGAAAAGTGTATTTAAAATGTTTTTATAGCAAAAATTTTTAATAAATAACAACAAAAAGTTTATTTTATTAAAATATCTAAGTATTTTTATATAATTTCTTTGAATGATAAGTTTGTTTTTATAAAAAAAAATTACAATAAAAATTGCTGCACATAAAGAAGAAAAAAAAGGCATAACGTCAGTGAATTGGAGTGTTGATACAAGAAGTTGTCAAAGAGTGTTGTGAAAATAATTTACTTTTCGCAATATTGGTATACGGTATTTACGGTGAAAAAGAAATCAAATTGAGTGAATTAAAAGGTTTGCTATATTTATAATATTTGTGTTGTAAAATAAAATTAATTATCAATAATATATTTACAAAAGCAATATAAATATTTTTGCAAAAATATAAATAAGTCAATATCGACCTGTTTTGCTTTTACTTTGTTTTCAACGTTCTCGGTATGTTTTCTTAGCGTGCGTGTTGTATTTGCAAAGTTTTTATTACTTCACATAAAAATTTCATTTGCTTTTAAATATTGTAAATATACATGTAAGTGAACAATATTTTCACTTATGATTTCTGGTACAAAATATGCTTTAAACTGCTCTCTTTTCACTAAATTTTAATACCTAATTAAACAATTCCTAACAAACATGCAATATACAGGGTACCGTGAATGATATCATAATTGGTTATTCCTATTATGTGCGTATATGAATGTGTGCATATAGTGAGTCTTCAAGTGTATTTTTAACTTGTTTTCAAATGGTTGACCTTTTATTAACGATTCAAGTTGGATTTTCTGTATTTTGAAAGTGCGAATTATTTCGGAAAGACAGTTTTTGGTATAATTGAAATATTTTTAGCTAAATATATAGCCATATGTCAGCATTTATTGCATAGATAGGTTTAGTTATTTCTGGAGATATAGTGTTAAAATATATATAGTAAAATATTATAACAATTTTTTGAAACAAATATTTGATTCATAATCTTTTAATTTTGTATTGGTTGCTTCTATAAATAGTTTAATTATAATTTATCAGCAATTATCTCCATAGCTTTACTATATATAGAAAATCAACAGCATTCATATAAGTTTCACTAGAAAGAACTAAACCTCTATTTCAACTCTTTTTCACTGGAATGAACACTGACTTTCGGGGCAGTGATGGGAGTCTTTCATCACCATTCATTCCTAAAGGTGGTTTTAGTGGCATAAAAGTTATGTTTTAGTTTTTCATATTTTATCTATATATAATTATTGTAGATATTTGGGTTCGAACATTAATTGTCCGTTACACTGCATACATTGTTGACCTAAATTCTGTTAATTTTCAATAAATGAAATATATATTTTATATTGCCGTATTCCATTGAAAATTAAAAAAAGTGCCATTTGTTCTTCCCAACAGGTGTGGGTTAATACACCAAGAATAAATCATAAAATAAAAATCGTCACTATAAACCAAGACTATATCTTTCGAACTCAAGTGTAAACGTGTTTATTGTTTCACTGATGCCATCAAAAGTTTCGATTCCTGAACTTTTGATGGCAAGTGGTGAACGGCACTTGCTAGTCGAAGTTTAGGAGTGGCTCCGGTCGCAGATCTGGCGGTTTTTGGAGCCAAGATGCATTCCTCTCTTTATATCATAAATATATATTACAATTATTGCAATCAAGTTAACATCAATAAGGTCGAATATCCTTTTGAATACACGGTTGCATTGCAACAAATTTTTCAATAGGCACCTGTCTAACATCTTTGAAGAAAACTACTCAGGAAAAACTGTCGTACCTCAATTGAAATCATGATATAATTATGTGCTAAACAGTTACTTATCACGCATTAATGCGTGATTACCAATATGCGCCCCAATTGCAGCTCTATCCTCATGATTTAGACCATCTGTTTTCGTGCTTCAAAGCTCACGCAAATTTGAGTCCGATCTTTGCAACCGCTTCATAGAGTGGCTAAGTTTCTCCGTCCTGTTACTGGTTAACTTCAATTAAAATCGTACTCATCCCCTAATTACTCCCAAGTAATTGAATCGCACTCGAATACAACATATACTTATCTATATCGTAACCTATGTATTCGTTTTGTATTTTCTTTCAAGTTCTGCTTGTAACCCTACAGATTCCTGCGGGTTACAACAACACAAACATTTCTAATCTCTTAGTCCATACAAGTTTTTAAAATTTTAAACTTTGATAGTCAGACAATTTTAGTGGGAAAACGCAAGACTAGACAATTGGTTGCTTTAAAATTAAAGTTCCAGAAACAATTTTGTTACTATTTTGTGTAATTAAATTAAAATATTTTTCTTCTTTCTAAGTGATATGTTGGAATTAGAAAGTTCAATTAATTGAATTTTATTTTGATCGCTAATCTTTTATTTTGATATTTTTTATTGAATGCGGAATAGCCGATAAATGGGAACAACAGTGAAAGATTGTAATAAGCATCCACAATATGAGAAAAATTTTGCTTTAGATTTACATTATGAGAAAAGTTTAAAAGAAAATAATTTAATAAGTGTTTAAAGAAACATTGAACATTCACTGAAACTAACGTATTTAACACAGAAAAACATTATATTTTAATTTACAACAAAACTTATCAACAAATTATATTATAATTATAACTCTTATATATGGTTATTCTGCACTATAGTCCCATTTCTATTACAACTAAAGTCAATCTTATACTATCTGTAATTAACTAAATTTTAAGTCGTTTTAGATTATTTTTGATTGATTTTATTTACCAACAAGAAACAGTTCTATTGGGAACAGCCATATTTAGGTCATATGTAAATCTTCATTAAATAGTCCATAGAATTCAATTAGATTCCATATTTATTTGACATTTCAAAGTTAAATTACTTATGGAATGTTTTGAAATCCGAAGAATGTTGGAATAAAATCGTAACTATTAAAAACTATACAACTATGTACTAGTTTAATTGTCAAACACTTCAGTCACTTTAAATATCAGTATAATAATAATAGAACATGACATATAAGCTGTAAAAACTAGATTAGAAGCACGGGTTAGAATTTATTAATAATTTTTAAATTAGTGTTGTAACTCGTAGGGTCTATAAAGCAAAAGACATGAAAGGATTATATATAAACTTTTACATGGGTATAGTATAGGGTATATGGTAAGCGAGGTAAAAAGAAGAGGTATTATATAGGATGTGGGAGAGATGACAGTTTGGGTTAGTGTTAATTGAAATAAAGCTGGTTGATAGAAACAGACTACTACAATTAGGCAAAACTATTCATTAGTTGGGCGCAGTTGGTGTTATACATTTGAGATTGATATATTTGTACATGGCAAATGGTTTAGCACCCAGGTATATTATTACTGCGAATGTGCCAGAACAACTTTTGCTATACGTCGTCAAATGTGTTTTTCATATCTAGTGGTTTTAACAAGTACTTATGTGTCTTACATATATTCAAAAGCAGTTTATTAAATATAGATAGTATAGGAGTAATTAAAATATAGCAATTGCATTTTGTTGTATACATTATTCGTATTTTAAATTGATACTATCTGCAAAATGCAGTTATCGATTTAGTAGGGTATATAGAGGAGACGAGGTAAATTCATACCAGACCTTATAATTATTTTCCAAAACAACACAGAGTCTGTTTCTGTTATCTAAAAATATCAATTTTTTAAATGTTTTTGCATTGATATGCAGACATTTTTTATCTGTTCGAACAAAAACAAGAAAAAAATCAATATCTCAAAAATTTTACCAATGATTTTGTTTTAATATCTCTGAAAGTACAAGGAAATTTGAAATTGTTATTGAATTACAAAGAACAATATGGCGTCCATTTTTAGAATTAAAAAAAAGTTTTAACATAGCAACCAATTGTAGATCCTTGAATAATATATAAGTGAGTTTAACGATGACTCGATAATTATATATAGACAAGTCTACTTTATTTAAAATAAATTCAAATCAAAGCGTCATAAATATAGGAATTGTGTTCATCTTCATATTTGTAGATCGAAATATCTCTGAATATATAACATATAGTCCATTTGAAACCAAAAAGTCTTCCAGCGCATGTGTGGAAAATTACATTACTTTGTCTATGGCTCTGTTTTAGATGCCATTGCCGATCACATTTTAGTTTTTCTAATTTTTGAACAAGAATGGCTCGACCACCAATTCATAAGCAGCACTATATATATTACATTTTTTATAATGCATTCATGGATAAATAACTTATAAGATTGCTTTACTTTAAAGTGTTCATTTTTTATATTAATATAGCTAAAAAAAGAAAACTGTTTTAAAAGTACAGTTTAAAAATGGATTACTAAGTATAGGTTGTTAGTATTTGAGAATTTGTAGTAAAAAGAAATTCATTATTTTTGCTTATTTATCATACTTATAATTATCCGATATACGTTAAATATACGCAGTCTTATTTGATAACTTATTCCCATTTTGAAGGTAATTTCATTATGATTCTCTCATAAAAGTCCTCGTTATTATTGGCAAAAAATTGAAATGGTCAATTTTCACAAGTCTCACTTGAAGCGAATTTTTCAACAGAAAAGTCGTTCATCGTTCACCGTGGACTGGAGAATATGGTTATAATTTAGTACCAGGTCTGGACTATAAGGTGAAATCATAACAACTTCTTGACCAAGCTCCTGGAGCTCTTCTTTAGTCATTATCGATGTGTTTGGCCCGACATTATCCTGATTGCACACAATTTCTCTCCTGTTGCCCAAACCTGGCTGTTTCTGGGCGATTCGTTTCTTCAGATGATCCAATTGTTAACAGTACAGTTCCGAGTTGAGAGTTTTGCCGTAAAGAAGCAGTTCATAGTAGATGATTTCCTGCCAATCCCATCAGACACACAGTCAAAAATTTTCAATTTGCGCATGATTTGCTATTACAGTATCAGTACCATTAACATTATTCACATTTTAAGCCGTCTGGCTTGCGTTATCGTCGTTATCATAGAAGTACTGTAAAATGTGGCATATTTTCTTTGTGCTAGTGTTAATCTTTGATGCGCGATCAAACAAAACTGAGTCAACCATTACCAAATTTAGTAACAATTTTGTAGTACGAACTCTCATCTTTTTAACGTCATCTAGCGTAACTCTATCAGACTTATATAAAGTGAGATATAGATAACTAAACCCATTTATTGGGAAATAATGGATTTCTTTTTACTATACCTAGTATGTGGCAACTGCGACATATAAAGTTAATATTATAATTAATTTTATAAATAAATAAAATATTTCAATTTCGTTTCAAATCA